CCACCACCCGCACATAATATACATTCAGCCCACTGATGTGTCAGTGTCTGTCGCAGCAGGAACTGTCGTCAGGTCTTGCAGGAAGAATCTATGGAAGACTATGGGCCATGCGTATTTAAACCAAGCAGTTAGGTTAACAGCATAATACACTGCATATTTGGGCTAGATAATGACATACATGCTACAATGACTTCTATTACCAGCTTGACATACTTTTACATACTTTTGATATTACAAAAATCAGTGTAACCACGTTACTGGAATGTCTAACTTTGATCTTGAAAAAAAAAAAAAATACCATGGGGAAAAACCGACATTAAGGGCATACAAGTCAAAATTTTTATTAAATGATAAATGTAACACAGCTGTAACATGACGATGACAACTTTTCTTTTCTTGGTTAGTAGCAGAGAGCAGCAAAATGTAGTAAATGTAACACTAAAGGAGAGTGAGAAGGCCCAGCTTGTATTGATACTGTGGAAAATAAGTATTGAAATATTCAGAATCGATATGTATTAATAAATTAATACTGTCACATACCGTATATCCAAGAGAAGTTATGAAGGTATGAAAAAATAGATACCACTAAAACCTACTGTACATCCAGCTAACACTATTTTATTATTGGGCTGCAAGTACCAATAATTTGCATAATAAGTTAATTTATTCTTTCATTCATTTTCCATAACTGCTTATCCTGTTAGAGGTTGCAAGTTTGCTGGAGCCTATCCCAGCTGACATTGGGCAAGAGGCAGGGCGTACAGGTCGCCAGACTATCACAGCGCTGACACATACAACCATTTACGCTAACATTCACACCTACGGACAATTTAGAGTCACCAACTAACCTGCATGTCTTTGGACTGTGGGAGGAAGCCGGAGTACCCGGAGAAAACCCACAGAGAACATGAAGGCTCCACACAGAGGGGATCCCCCACCCTAGGTTCAAACCAGGAACCCTCTCGCTGTGAGGCAAAAATGCTAACCACTGCATCACCATGCTGCCTATCAAAGATTATTTTCTTGATTAATTGATTAATCTATATGGCATTTAAAGAATACTAAAAAATGGCCAAACATAAATTCCCGGAGCCTTGGTGACGTCTTCAAATTGCTTGTTTTACCCAACCAACAGTTGGGTAAAACAGTTCTATTTCGAAAGACATTTAAATTAATTATCTTATATGCTTAAAAAGATATAAAGTATTCACAAATGAGAAGCTGAAACAAGCGAGCACCTGAAATTGATTATCTGCTGAAGCTCTATTTGCCTCACAGTGGATCTCTGGGAAATTTAAATCATAGAAACACCACAGGATCCTTTAAGTGCTGTAGCAAAAATGCTGATAAAACAGCTTACATGGCAGATAATCACTTTATAAATATGTCCACGTGTAAACAAGGTTAGACTTGCTGGTTGCTTGGGTGTGCATGTGATACACTAACTGGAAAACCAGCCCTTTAAGCCAACTCATCTGTGCTCTCAGAGCAGACACTGAGCCACTTGTTATCTTCCTCCTTCCCCCCCTGCACCCCCCTCCTGCTGCGTTCCTATGCTCTGCCTCAGCAAATTTCTCCTTTCTTTTCACCCTCTTGTTTTCTTCTTTGCTCTTTTCTCAGTGACAAAGAGTCCGGCTCACCAGGCGGCCAAGACAGCAGCTGGTCCTGCGCGTCTGCTCCAGTCTGGTCGGCTTCATTAATCACGGATCAGTGACTTGAGTCCCTGTTTTGTCAACAGTTCCTAATGTGCGAATTGTTACTGTAGTTCATATCACAGAAATACAGCATCACCACATTTTTAATATGGGCTGCTTTGACGTATTAGGAGTGTGTTTGTTGAGACCTTACTGTACTCTGTGGTACTTTAATGACCCATCACATAACTGAGATATTCCAGCAGTGATTCATTGTGTCTAGTAATCTGTGTCAGTCTTACGGTGCTTAACTGTATTTATCATCAACTTTTATAATAAAATCAGGTTCGGTTTCCGATTCTGTTACTATTTTGACTGTGAGTTAGATGTTATATCACAGTTTTACTGATATATGTGAGCAGTAGTCTTGTGAAATGTATTTAATAGTACAAAAAGTATACATCTCCTTGGATAACAGGTAGCTTGTAATGAAAACAAACTGAAAACTGACTTTATACCCATGACGTATCAGACCACTTACTTTGTCTGAAACTCAAAACAAGATATCTAAACATGTAATCAAATCTAAGGTGTAGTCATAAACTGGTGAAAGATGAACACTTTAAATGGTTGCCTGAGTCTATGGCACAGGATGGAGTGCGAACAATAGGGCTGCATGGTGTGGTCCCATTACAGCTTTAGTAATGGTATCTTTTGTGGTTTTTTTGAAAGGCATCTTTGAAAAGTTTTTAAGAATTAAACACTTTACATATCTGGCAGACAAAAGTTAGAATAAACTGCTAATTAAAAAAAAAAAAAAAAGTCCTTTTGTTCTCACTACTTCTTCTTACCTTTGCACCAATCTGGTTCCCGCACTGGCCGGCCTGGATGTGCACGATCTCCCTCATGATGGATAGTAGTTTGTGATGAAAGAAGAATGTTGGTGGTGATGAAGAGTTGCAGTGAACCTACTAACTGAGTACAGAGAAAGAGTGCACTGCTCTGAGTCCTGTAGGCGGGGCTACAGTCTTGGGATGCGGCCATCACGGCGTTCACGTTCATGATTGGCTGCTGTGGCCGGAGCTCCGACGCTCATTGGCTGAAAAGGGCAGATTTTTTTTTTCAAAGGGGTTTCCTTGTCTCAAGTGCAAGGACCGGAAAAGAAGAAGGAGTGCCGGGTTTTGTCATCACTGCCCCGTTGGAGCCTGAGCCCCACTAACCTACATGTAACAATGCAGAGCAGAATAGAATAGAATAGAATAGAATTGGCAGGTCATATTTAATTTTATTCAATTTTATAATGAGGCGATAAAATTAACATGGCAGTTTGATTTTGGTAATGAATATTATAGTATAGGCTATGCAGGCCTACTTCTGCTTCAATGTGTGGGGCAGCACTGGGCATACAATAGAAGAGAATATAGTTAAACACAATAGAATAGAGTAGAAGTAGTTGCTTAATGTGTTGCCTGAAGAAGGCTAATATCAATAAGCACTAGACCACATTTGGATTTCATTGATAAAAGTATTTTACAAGTACATTCACTCATGTAATGTGCTCATAAGTACAAGCACTTTTTTTTTTTTTTACTTTACTTGAGTATTTCCTTTTTCTTCTCGTTACACTTCTATTCCAAAACAATTCAGAGTCTAATATTGTACTTTTTATTCCACTGCAACTAATTCTAACTTAAATTACGTTGCAGAATCACATTAATAGGCTTCTACAAAATATATTCATCAAATTAAAGTATGATGAGATTAGAAAAAAATATAATTAAAATGAGCTCCACCTTTACCAGCTGCAACAGTACTGTGCTGTTCACAATAATGCATCAAAAATTAGAATCCAATACTATAATGTATATTAGGATGGAATTAGACCTATGCACCTGCAATGTTGTACGCATATGCAGATTCAGATTAATAACACATAACACATTTAACAAGTTAAAATATGATGAAAAGTCATAAGTTAATATAAGATAAGATAAGATAAGATAAGTAAAAAGTAATCAAATTTATCTTAACCTTTACCAGCTGCAACAGTAATGCAATCTTCACATTAATGCATCAATAATTATAATCCAATAACATAACATAGTATTAATATGAAATGGGACATCAGTATACCTGCAGTGTTATGTGCCAAATGTCTTTGTTGTTTTGTATCTTGTCTCTGGTGCTTTGGGTCCAGAAAAGCACTTTATAAATGCAATTTATTTGTCATTACTTTATTATTCTGCATGGTGAGCAGCCTCGTTTTACTTTGGTAATTGGTATTTTTTTTAAAGCTTATGCTTCTGGACTTTCATTTAATTAGAATTTTGAATGCAGGAGTTTTACTTGTAACAGAGCATTTCTATGATGTTGTATAAAAGGTCTATGTATTTCATTTACCACTGCTATGAACAGGGAGACAAATTAATTGAGGACTACACTGAACACTGATTCCCAGTACTATGAACTTTTGCACATCCCCTCACCAATATTTTTGCACAGCCTGCACAAAACTGTACAGCTCTCTCATTCTAAAACATATTCATTATATTTTTTATTGTCTATGTATGATCTTGATTTTTTTTTTTTTTTTGCAGTACTTTGCCTTGTTTTTTTATGTCCTCTTAATATGTTTATTAAATGCACCAAACACCAAGACAAATTCCTTGTAAGTGAAAATCTACTTGGTAATAAACCTTATTCTGCTGCATTCACGTGCTCCTCAGTTGGTCCTACATCCTGGGTTGGTAAGTCTTTTTCCAGACTTCGGGTGTGTTTATAAACTTTAAGCCGTAATGTGGAAACAAAATAGACGCCACAAAGAGGATTTCTGGTATTTCATTGTTCAGAGCATTTAAACAATACTTTAATAATAGCTTGATGCTTAATATTACCAAGTAATTTTGGACCAGGACAGGACACCCCTTATTAGTACTCAAATATTGCTTTACTTGACTTGTTATTAGAACTAATGCCAATAAATAACTTTCTATCTAATCTGAGGACAGCAGCTTCCCGTCACAACCGTATTACAAATTAGGCTAAATGTCAGCAAAACAGTTGCAATATGCAACATGTAGCCTAAGACAATAAAATGATTATTACAAACAATCGAACATTTTTTTCCGACCGCCGTGTTTCTGCATATATAACGTCAACTTGACAAGTCGTGTATTAAACCTTTCGCCGGTTTTCCGAGTTGTTATTTCGGTTCGGGGCGCGCTCACGTGAATTTTCCCAGTGGAGATCTAAAATTTCCGATTATTCCGACAGCACTTGAACGCAGGGACATTTGTTGCAGTTACCCACCGCGCCACTAGATGACAGACGCACACAGTGTGAATGATGGGCGTGCTCTATAAAAGCCGCTGAGCTGCAGTGTCTGTGTTGTACTGCATCAGCTGGTGTCTGACGAGAATAACCGTCACTGGGGACGAAATTAAATTAATTTTAACCGAGACATACCGCTACTTTTTGCCCCAAATTTAGCCTACTCTACCTAAACCACATCGCTCATATACTAACCGGTAAGTGTGCCACCATATTACGCCTCTATCCATAGTGATTCTCGACTGTAAAAACAAATGTGGGAGCCAAATCGATTGAGGTAAATGACTGGATAGACAGCTAGCCGCTATCAAAATACACAGAGTAATCCAAGACAGAAATTTTTAAGCGTTACTGTCCCTAAGTGAGTGGCTCCAATATGTGGGGATTTCTGTTATTCATTTCTCACGGCTTTTCTTGTGGATTTTACTGCGCAATATTTGTGAAGGCTAAATTAGATATTAGCCCTGGTGGTCTGCCTGGTAGCTCCCATCATACCCCCCTGCTTTAATTTTATTAATGGCAGTCCTAGACTTACAGCATAAACTGGAAGTCATTTTTAAGGCTTTATTTAAAATAAGATAATAAAATTAATGTGCACATATAGTGGAAGTCCAAACAAGGTGGGACTTTGTGGCTCACTGTATTATTCCAGTACTTTCTTTGGCTTCCAGTTTGAAGGAGGATCAGCAAGCATGTTCTACACCTGTGGTCCCAACGAGGCTATGGTGGTGTCAGGTAAAATTGTTTTTTCATCTTATGTATATAATACCATTACAAGGAGCGTATCATTTGTTAAATAAATTCCCATTAATGCAAAAGGTTGTCATTCCAAGGTGGACAAAATGTACCAAATTTCAAAATATTTCAAAACATCAAGATCATAACATGTTTAAAATGTCACAATTTTTGCAACAAAGGTTATAACATAAGAATTACTCCTTACTACTAAACCAATTTTTGGATGAGTATCTACTTCTGAAATATTGCCAAACCAAAACACTTGAAAAACATGATGTTGCAATATTATGTTCATATCACTCAACCTTAGTCATAAATGGAGTCTGATTTGAGGCTTTGCTCGGTGTCTCATCTCTCCCAGGGCTGTGTCGTTCTCCCCCGCTGATGATACCTGGAGGCCGAGTGTTCGTCATCCCGTGCATCCAGAAGTTACAGAGGTTGGCAAACTGTCTGCTGATCTTTAATTTAATGCATGATGTTGCTGCTTTTTTAACAGATAACTGAGTAACTTGACACTAAAGGATATTTTAATAAGAAGGTCATAAATCATACGATAGCAGATTTGCAATTATAGTGCCAGGATGACTGATGGACGCAGATTTAAATCAATGCCCACTTGCCTTGTCTTCACTAAATGAAAATGATTAGTTACATCTTTATATTGCCTAATAATGTTTGTGTCTCCTGGAAATAAACTATCCCTTACTTAGTAGTCAACAACCATGTCACAAGAGCAGTTTCTATCCTCCTGTCAACCCAAACATACACTTCTCAAAAATGAAAATGCAGCACTTGTTTTCTTTTCTCCTATTTTTCATGAGTTAAGTTACAAAATCAAATTCTTTTTCTCTGCACATAAAAGCCGAGTTCTCTAAATTCATAAATTTGTTTAAATGCGTGTTAGTGAGCACTTCTGCTTGTCCATCTACCTGGCAGGTGTTGCATATCAAGATGCCGATTAAACAGCGTGATTATGACACGGCTGTGCCTTGTGATAGTCATTATAATAGGAGTAGGATAGGAATATCCACCAGAGCTGATGTCTGTAAACTGAAGTACATCCAACCGATGTAGTGAGCCAGCCCAGGAACTCCACTTCCAGCGTCTTTATCTGCAAGAAGGTCTGAGATCAGCCATTGCTGCTGTTTGATCAGCATCTTGAGACACCACACCTGTCAGGCTGATGGATTATGTTGACAAAGTGCTCACTTTTACCAACATTTAAAAGTCTCAAATCTGTCATTTCAACTCATGAAAGATAGGAGTGGAACAAAAGTGTTGCATTTACATTCTTGTCCGGTGTATGTAGCCTACAGGCGGGGCTGTCCAGGACACATTTGGATCTGCCAGGACACATGCTGCTCCTCCCACCTTAATTTCAGCTCATCATATGGCACCAGATTTAATGTTTTATTTGTCTGAGTGTAGCTGGCCCAAATCCTGTACCTGTTAAATCCTCAAGTGCACACAACTCAATACAAGGACAAAACGGAAATGACTGCACTTTAATGTATACCATTATAGCAGCTGATAATCCATCCATTATCATTCTTTCCTTTTTATATGTCTCACCCTGCCTCTCTCCAGGATTTCCCTGAACACTCTGACTCTGAATGTGAAGAGCGATAAAGTGTACACCCGCCATGGGGTGCCCATCTCTGTCACTGGGATAGCCCAGGTCAGTGAGCATCACTTCAGAGGGACCAGCGGGCTACCCTACCAGTGAAGCAGGAGGAGGTTTCAGGGGGACAGGTCTAAAGAACTTAACAAATAGTTAATGTAGGTCATCAGAAGGAATTATTATAAGTTATTATCTTGACTAACTGTATAATAAAGATGTAGCTGTAAGCTTTGTGTATCTGTTCAGTCAGGATACCCAACATGGCTCCTCCACATCTGAGTGTGACATCTACCCAGTGGTGGGAGAAGGACTCAGATCTTTTACTTAAATAAAAGAAGCACTACCACAGTGTACAAATACATTGTTACAAGTAAATAAAAGTCATGCATTTACATTTTTAATTCAGGAGAGGTACAAAACTATTAGCATCAAAATATAAAGTACCAATAGTAAAGGTACGTTTTTTCAGAATGGCCCATTTCATATATAGTATGTTAGATAGATGGATAGATATCTAGAAAATGATTCTTGGTTTGTATAAAACACCAGCTGCTGTTTTGTTGGACATGGGGAATGAAACGAGTCGCTGTCTCCCACAGATGAAGATCCAGGGTCAGAATAAACAGATGCTGGCCGCAGCATGCCAAATGTTCATGGGGAAGTCAGAGGCCGAGATCGCTCAGATCGCCTTGGAGACGCTGGAGGGCCACCAGCGGGCCATCATCGCCCACCTGACCGTCGAGGTAAGGATCTGACAGTTTGTTTTCAGCAGTGGATATAGTGGAATTTAAATTCAGGGTTTAAAGTCCCAGTCAGTGATTAATAATTCAGTGAGTATTTGACAGACAGATTGCTAATAACACAGCTATAAAACATATCTATCAGTAACTTGTAATGTTTTGATCCAACCAAGACTTTGAGAGACAGCAAACATGTTCCTCTTACAGGAGATCTACAAGGACAGAAAGAAGTTCTCAGAGCAGGTTTTTAAGGTGGCATCCTCTGACCTGGTCAACATGGGTATCAGCGTGGTCAGCTACACGCTCAAAGATGTTCACGATGACCAGGTAACCCCATATCTTCACACAAATTTTTTTAAGTCACTTTCAAAAGTCAAATATTTTATAACATGGTTGAAATGTATAATTAATGTTTGATTTGATGTGTATTTGGTGGGTTCACTGGGGTCCTAAATTTTTTAACAAAATTGATGACCATCTTAACTCCTGAATCATGAGATGAACATTTCTCACTTTGGCTTTTTTTTTTAATTTTTCTGTTGAAAGAGCTGCCATAGCTACAGCATGTTACCATAAGATGAATTTTCTGTATCTTGTATCAATTCCGTCTTGAGTGACAAATGCTGATCTAACTTTAACATCTCTTTCTCGTCCTCAGGATTATCTGCATTCACTGGGGAAAGCTCGAACTGCCCAGGTTCAGAAAGACGCTCGCATTGGAGAGGCCAAGAACAAGAGAGATGCTGTGATCAGGGTGGAATATATTTCATTGTCTCCATCCTCCAGGATATAGTTACTGCTATGAAAGTGTCTCATTTCAAAATGACCACCAGGCAGTAGTAGAGGTCGGATTATAGAGTAGTCAATCACTCTGCTTTGCGCAGTTACCAGTGATATTCGTCTAAACTTCTGTCTTTATTTTTAGCATCTTCATCCTGTTTAACCGGTTTTCAAGAGTTATTCCCATTGATCCCTATTTCCGTCATCTTTCTCTGTTTCTCTCTCTCTGCAGGAGGCCCATGCAATGCAGGAGAAAGTCTCGGCTCAGTACAAGAATGAGATCGACATGGCAAAGGCCCAGAGGGACTACGAGCTGAAGAAGGCAGCCTATGACATTGAGGTTAACACAAAGAAGGCGGAGTCAGAGATGGCCTATCAGCTGCAGGTACACAGGAGCGAACAAGAACTGTGTGATTACAATCAGTAACACATTAACTGGCTGGATCTAATATGTCATAACACTGAATGACAAAAGATTATATTTATGTACTGTATTTTCCAGGTAGCGAAGACGAAGCAGCGTATTGAGGAGGAGAGGATGCAGGTCCAGGTGGTCGAGCGGACGCAGCAAATCACGCTGCAGGAGCAGGAGATCACCCGCAGGGAGAAGGAGCTGGAGGCCAAGGTGAAGAAACCTGCAGAGGCTGAGAGGTACCGCCTGGAGAAACTGGCTGAGGCTCAGCGGTGAGTTGCAAGGCTCGTTGTCTTCTGTCTGCTCTTCACAAACTACAGTGTGGTGTTGTGAATAGGCAGACAGTTTTTCAGTTTTATTACCAGAGTTTAAGCCCCTGTCTTTGCAGTGCAATGTCTCTGCTGATGTGACCTGAGGCAAGATACTGAATCCCTGTTTTATAGCTGACCTTTGTGGAGGATTGCAGAAGCTTTTATATTATAGCAATCTTCTATCTGTCACCTGCAAACACTCCTTTTTTTATGTTAGTATGAAGGCTTTCTACAACTATAGATGAGGCATTTCATGGTTTGGTAAGGTTAATTAACACCACAAGCGGAAGAAGTACTCAAATCTTTTACTCAAGTAAAAACAATGATACAACAGTCTACTTGTAACAGAAAGACTTTTATTAGTGAAAGTCCTGCATTCAAAATTCGACTCGAAAATTACAAAAGTGCCAGCATAAAAAAAAAATACTTAGTACCAAAAGTAAAAGTACTCATGATGCAGAATAACTAATTTCAGAATAATAATACTGTATTATTTGATTATACAACCCCAATTCCAAAAAGGTTTGGATCCTTATTGACCTATATTTGATTGAATACAGTACAACGACAAGATATTTAATGTTCAGACTGATAAACTTTATTGTTTTGTTTTGGATTTTTTTGTAAATATACACTTATTCTGAATTTGATGCCTGAAACATGTTCCAAAAAAGTTGGGGCAGAAGCAACAAAAGACTGTCAAATATGTGGAACGCTCAAAAAGCACCTAGACAGGTTTATTGGTAAGATTATAGTATCGTAACTGGGTATGAAAGCGGCATCATCGTAAGGCTCAGCTAAGGATCGTCACTTTGTGAAAAATGTTGTGGGCAGTCCCAACAGTTTAAGAACAACCTTTCTCAAAGCACTATTGCAAGAAATGTAGGGATTTTAACATCTATGGTGATGTAATACAGAACTAAACATGTCCCTGTCCCAACTTTTTTTGGAACATGTTGCAGGCGTCAAATTCAAAATGAGTGTATGTTTACAAAAAAGGGTTAACAGTCTGAACATTAAATATCATATCTTTGTACTATAGTCAATCAAATATAGGTCAAAAAAGATTTGCAAATCATTGCATTCTGTTTTTATGTACAGTTGAAACAGTGTCCCAACATTTTTGGAACTGGGGTTGTAATCACTGATGCATTAATGTTTACATCACTTTGATGTTGCAGAAGGTGGGTATAATTCATGACAAATTAAGATTTGCCTAATCTTAACCAATACAAATGTGTCATTTATTTGGATTATATTTTGTATCATTATACTGAATCTGCAAAAAATAGTAACTAAAATGATCAATTAAATGAAGTGAAGTAAAACAAATTGCCTCCTGAAATGTGAGTACCAGCAGTAGTAGAGTAGAAGTAAAGATTAGTGGAAAATGGAAAGAGTGACCTACCTCAAAATTTAACTTAAAGTATATTTACTTGAGTACTGTACTAAGACAGTCATGACTCTTCAAAGCCACTGACAAACTGATTTAAAGAAAACAAACCCAGTGTATTGCAGTTTGAATATCATTAAACAAAATACTGTTGAGGAAAGTACAATATCTGGTGAATTAGCATCACCTACTGCTTATCTCAATGAACCAGCTCCTTCTATTTGCATATCAGTAGTGGATGGAAAAGTTCATAAATTCAGATTTTGTTTTGGTGATTTTCTCAAAATTTGATTAGAATTTGCTTCACATTTGGATGGAAATCCAATTACTATAGTGACAGTGAGAAATCATTAAACATAATACTGTACTTTTGATGATTAAGTGAAAACAAAGATCAGACACAAGCCCTACCTCATGTTGTAATGTTCATGATACAGAAATATGGTCCACTGTTGGCTCAGTCATCTACAGTTATTCTGTCTGCTCCCTGTCTGACTCTGCTATTCTCTCTCTCTCTCTCTGTCCAGTCTTAAGTTGATCATGGAGGCTGAGGCCGAAGCTGAGTCCATCAGGGTGAGTCACAAAACACTACAGCTGCTTCCCAACTCAGCTGTCTTTGGGTTTCAAAATGGTTTAAAATGGAGATCATGCTGAATGTTGTGAAATATTGGTCTCATGCCCACAAGCGTTCTTGTTTTGTCTGAGTCTAATTCACAAAGTATCTCAGGAGTTGTGGGGCGGCGTTTTCTGGTAGAGTAACCCGTCCTCCTAACCTGTCTCCTTCAGATTAAAGGTGAGGCTGAGGCCTTTGCAGTGGAGGCCAAGGGTCGAGCTGAGGCGGAGCAGATGGCGAAGAAAGCGGAGGCCTTCCAGCAGTACAAGGATGGAGCCATGGTGGACATGCTGCTGGAGAAACTGCCTCTGGTAAACAGCTATTTATACCTGCAGCCCACTGTTATTGTATGCATCACTGCTGCATGGGGGTAGTTTGTTTTGGTTACAAATCCATCCCTGGGCTCCACATATTGTCCTAATTTACAGCTCATTGTGTTTTCTTTTTAGTGCACCTTTTACAAAAACTGGTGTGCATAAACTAAAATATAATCAAGCTAAAATCTATTTAAAAAAAACGATGCCTAGTCACAGCATAACTTTTCAGACACTTTGGATTTGACAAAATTTATTGAATAATTCGCATTTTGTTATTCAAGAAGAAAGCATCACCTCAGAAAATATCAGGAAAATATAACATGTATGGCTCCTGGCTAATTTAATTTAATTTGGTTCATTTCATTCATTCAGTTCATTCAGTTTAACTGCTTGCCTTGCATGCTGTCATGTCTGGGTTTGTCAGAGTCACTTATTTGCTTCATGTTTCATCAGCCAATGAATGAGTTTGTAAAGGTTTCAACATTTTGGTCATATCTGTCTTCCACCAGATGGCAGAAGAGATTAGCAAGCCTCTGTGTGGAGCCAACAAGGTGACCATGGTGTCCAGTGGAGGAGGGGAGGTGGGTGCAGCCAAACTGTCAGGAGAGGTGCTGGACATCATGCTCCGCCTCCCCGAGGCTGTGGAGAAACTGACTGGAGTCAGCATCTCCCAGGTAACACATCCATATATGGACTTGCTGTCGGTGGTCTGCTGATGCATGTCAAATGCATCATGGAGGATGCAAGAATATGTATCAAAGATGCACTGATTTTTTTAATTTAATTTTTTTGCCAATATGTAGCCGGCAGAAGACGTTGCAGTCAAGTAGTAAAAAAAAAAAAAAAAAGACTTGCTATGTGTTTTCCTAAACCTAAACCATGACCTCAGTGGAAAACGTGAATTGCATGATTGCATGAAAATACTTGTTAAACTCATGCAAAATAGGCATATGGTTTTCATCAGTGGCTAAATGGTGCGTCACTTTAAATGTTACTACCACAAGGAATTGTGGGACACCTAAAGGATGTTCCAGTGTTTCCTATGCTAAAGGAAATAGGAAAGGAGGCACTGAAGCACCTTTCCATAGCATTTAGAGAATTCGACCAGCTGTTATCATGGCTAACACTTAGAAAGGTTCCTAACTGAGTGAAACAACCTGCCATCTAAGTAAAAAGAAAAAAAAGATAACTCAACCGCAGCCCAGGTATTTTGTCACTTTATTAAGTTCGTATTAAGTTAAATATGTGAAACTGTGCAACAGTTTCGTACGGACACATCCAGCAGACTCAGAGCAAAGTTATGATTCCGCTGGATCTGGGTCCCTGGGAATAGACTGCACATCTGGCATCTACCAAACATCTGCTAACTCTGCAATTTGATGATGAGCAGTAGTGAGAGGGAACTAGACCACGCTATAATGCTTTGAGCGTTTGTTACTGTTTATTATTGTAAATGATATTTATTTAAAAAAAATCTCTCTCTCTCTCTCTCTCTCTCTCTCTCTTTCTCTTTCCCTCCATTCTGCAGGTGACCTCTAACACAGAGTGAAGCGAATCAACCAGTCTGGTTACCAGGCAGAACCATTTTTCTTTGCATGAGTCTGCTAACACTAATAACCTTTTTCCTCTGCTCTAATTTCTGTCTTACATCATCTGTATAGCCGTTTCCCCTCCTGTAGCTCTGTCGACATCTTACTGTGATGTTTCTGTGTTGTAACGTACACTTTTTTAATGTTTGTCTTTTTATGTTTTTCGGTCACTGATACTGAGGTCTGTCTCGGCTAAAGTAGTGCTCTTCTGGCTACAGTTGCAGTTGCTATTTCAGTTTTTTGTTTTCATATAGTCCACTGATACTGCATTATAATCAGCATTAACAAAAAGCATTCAAATTACAAAACTTGCCACGTGTTTTCTTTTCAAGATTTAGGCCTTTGATTTAATTTACATTGGCTTGACCACATTTTAAAATGCAGCATAACAACCAACAAATGTAACTGTAGCCTCTGTGTAACCCATAAGTTGTAAATGTTCACTTTGTCTTAACAGTCTTCTGTCTTTTCCTACCTTCTTCTTTCTGCACTGTCAAGTTTTGTGTGTCTGTGTCACACTAATGAGAAAGTCTGTGTCTGTGTTTATCCTAAATGTCTCCTCCATAACTGCCTGTTCACTGCCTTGGTGCCAAACCTTAAGTGCATCTTAACAAGAACGTTTAACACGCATTCAAAAACTTAAATTACTAAAGCTACTAACATTACGAGACTGGACATTATGAGACCAACACCACAGCCTGTGGTTTTAGCATCACCCATTTCTCACCATGTGATTCTGACTGAACTCATCAAGGAAGAGTTATCATATCATCAATCCTTTAAAAGTCTTTAAACAGGGTTTCCACAGTCATGGAGAAGCTGGAAAAGTTACGGAACTCCAATGTCTTGTTTTTCAGGCCTGGAAAAGTCGTGAAATTAGTAAAATCGCTTAAAGTTTTGGAAGAGCAATGGAGTTAGTAAAATCATGGATAGTTTTGGAAAAGTCATGGAAAATAAAATCAAATAAAAATTTATTGTTACAGTAATCTTTTGCGGATAACCTTCCACATAATGTAGCATAATGGCGAATGAAGGAAGAAGCTTCTTGGATGAGAGGCGAGACGTTTTCAAGAAATGCAAGCAAGTCCAGTTGCTTACGATATAGCACTTACGATTACCATGACCTGAATGACTGAGAATCTTCACCGACATAATGGCGAATGTTTTTTCTGTAGCTGTTGATGTAACGAAGCTCTTATATGCGCCGTTGCATGACATTTTGCTCACCCTCCATGTTTGGCAGCTAGCAGGAAATTTTTTTGAATAGAATAATGTGCCAGTGTGATCTGACATGGTGGGTAATGAATCCCAAAGTTTTCATACCGATGCCCCATTTATACTTTTTTAATTATACCGCATTTTTGAAATTGCATGGGCAGCCAAGGGCGTTCAATTGTCACGTGCCAGTGCACACTTTGCTTTCATGTTTACTGCTCTGAAAATAGAGTGTGGTAGTTCAAAGGTGCAGAGCATTCTTTTTTCCGAACAAATTAACCAATGGGCCAACCAAACTGTCGGCTGTCACTCCCCCACTCTGGGAGCTCTACTGCTCCCTGTCCACAGAATTATAGTAATAATAATAATAATAATAATATAATTAACATTTGGAGTAAAGTGTACTATACAGATCTGTTCATGTTATATGTTGTGAATGGCCATGAAAATGTGTGGGAACCCTGTTTAAAGTTGTCATGGATGGTTGCAAACTAACAGGTAATCAAAATTGTAATCTGTAAATCTGATGCCTTTCTCAATCATCACTAACATCTTCTGATCTTGTCCTGCTTAATCAGGGTTAACATTTTGAGGATTCTGGGAAAATAAATAACTTAAGGACCCTTTGCTTAAGGCATACCACTATAAAACAACATCAAATATTTAAAACCTGTGCAGGAGCCCCATACCACAATTATCTCAATTACTGTATGCAAAACTATTAGCAAATGTTGTGCAGGTTCACTAACCCATCTTTAGCTCACTAACTTACGCTTACTAACCATTTCCACACTAAACATGTCTGTTCTCTAACTGATAGTTTGATATCTATCATCAGAGCAATGCAATGATCACTTCAGACCTCACAGCCCTTTCTACTGGATGCTTACAGTGTTGGCAATTCAGGAAATTCGGCTCAATTTACTCTGAACCTCAGTGTATGTCTATCTAGACAACAGAATATAGTACATACAATTTTTGAATATAAAATCGTATGTTACAAGAGAATGTGAAAGCTTTTGATTTAAAGTTTATGATCAAGCAAAATAAGAATTTATAATTTATTGTCATACGCTGATGCTGTAATGACCACCATGGTTAAAGTCCCTTATCTCCGTCCATCATTAACAGTAGGTCCACAGGTCAGGACACTTGAACAAAACAGATGTAGGCTAAAACAAGAGCTTGACCGTGGATCTTTTGGTTCAGGTTCACTTGAGATTTTGCCACCTTGCTGACCAGTAATACACACACTCTACTAGATGTATACCTAAAGTAAAGCGGTACTGTTTGTGTTATTATGACAAGCCATGTAGCAGCTCTCATTAAAGTGTAGCTTGTGGAAGTAAAGGGAAATGTGGTGTGAAGTATAGCTTTAGCCTTCTGTTGTAGCAATGGGAATACTACAGTGTCATTTTGAGATAACTGTATTGAAATGCTGAACTATGTATTATTATTTTTTTTTTTATGAGAGCCTAACATGAAGAGGTATGCAGATGCTGAACAGTCAGTGAGATTACTTATTGTCAGATGATGCCAGTGTTTACTGCAGGGAAAGGGAAAGGCTTTGATCAGATTGGTGGTCAGAAATGGACAAAATAAGACGTTGGTTCATTTATTTATTTTCTTCACCTCACTCTAGTCAATCTTGCTGTATTGTGTACTTATTTAACTTATTTATTATTATGATAAAGTTAATACCAAACAAGCCATTGTAAGGAATTGAAAATCTCTTGCACAGTAATTTCTCATCTTGGAGTCAGTGCACCCAGAATGATAAGCCAGTGAAGGTTTAGGAGCTAACTTTGAGTATTGGTTCCTAAAAATAGTTCCAGCTTGCCTTATACCATAACCCTATCCTACTGTCACCCTCCACCTATAACCTCTGGGGCTGGGTATTCAAAACATGTTTTATCTTTTGTTGTATTAGCATAAAAAGAAAACATTAAAAGGGGACACCCCCCCCCCCCCCCGACACACACACACACACACACAAAAACATAAAAATACATACTTTTCGTTTTACCTGTAGTGCTGCTTATTTATCTAAATATTTTAGTGAGTTGCCAATTGTTGGAGATATTGGCTGTAAAGATGTCAGCATTCTCTCCAATATAACGGACCTAGATGGCACTCAGCTTATGGTGCTCAAAGAGCCAGAAAAAGGGTTAGAAAACTCCACACCCATGTCTCTTACCAGAGATCATGACCCGCTCACTCAAGATAATCCACAGACCTTTTTGTGAGCAGTTTCATGTAGGAACTATATTCTCTCTTTCTATTACCATGCAGAAGGAAGTGTGCATCTACTCAGTAGCCCTTTTTAGATAGGAATTGTGCAAATTTGCAGGAAAACCCAATCAGTCTTTTTTCAGCATTGACAGCTTAAAAACAAAATCGGGGAGTGCAGCAAAATGCTGCCTACCTTCTTTTGTTTAACTACAGATTGCGCCTTTTTTGGGGCAATGGGGGGCATGAGCAAGTAACAAAGCGTGTAGATCAGCGTGTGAAGTAAACAGTGACGTGGGAGGGAAGCTGCGGCTGGTCAGTCTGTCTGCAATTCTCTCGTAAGTCGGCCCATTCTTCACCGTTCCCGTCATCTGACGGTTAATGGCCTCTTAATTTGCAAGTGCAAGGACGGCGCACAGTTCCTTGTCTCCCCAGTTACTCATCTTTACAGTGTCTGTCAGGTTTGCATTTCCCTCTTGCTACTAGCTGCTCACTAATTCCTGCTATCAGCGTTTCCTGTTTATCCACCGCCAGTGGGTAGCACGTGCGGCGTCATCAACAGCTCCTCCCACAAGTCTTCAACAGTCCCTCCCGTTGTGGAAAGCCGCCTTGGTCTGTTTAAACTAAAAGGGTTCCACCAATATGACTACCTTACGAGGCGGAAAATTGGGCACCTCGGATCAACTCGCTAATCCGGCCCTGTGTGTCTAAACACTCACAGCTTGCCAGCAAAACGGCCCAACATTCACGGAAAATCTGGCAGTGTAAAAGGGGCTATTGACAAGAGGCTCCTGCTCTTGACAGTGCAGTGCATGAGAACGTTAATGGTGCCCTCCTTGGTTGAGGTGTAACGTTAGCTAGCTAAATGGTACTGGTTGAGCTAGCAGTAGATGCACACTTCTTTCGGCGTGATGATACAGTTGGTGTAGTTGGATAGAAATAAAATAGTTCCTAAAGATTGCACTACATGAAAGAGGAAAGAGATGTATTTTGGTATTTTTTAAGAATCTTACAATAAAAACATTGATTGCTTTTCTTTAAAATTAGAAAATTAATTGCATGTTTGGTTTTGTTTGTCTGAGCTGTATGACAGCAATGAATTTAGCCAACAATGGTTATTTCTTTTCCCTCAATGGTACCCAATCTGAACACCTCATTATATGTCTGTTTGTGACTTTGTTCTCTGCACTGTTGATTACAGTACAGCCAAATGTATTAAAAATGGCTTTCTGAAGGTATGTTTTATTTATTTGAAGGTTAGTACTACTGTTTAAATGCATGCATCTACCTGTCACACTTTAACTGCAATTTAATCTTGGAAAACACATTTTCAGTCAGGATGCTGTATGCTACTTTACTGTGGAATCACCAAAGTAGGAGGAGATTGATCGGATAGTTATAGAAAAGGAAATGTATCTTGGTACCTCTGTGATATTTAAAGTGTAATGATACTCAAAGTTACACTACGTATGGATATAGATGTATTTCTATAGTATATACTGTATATTTGATATTTACAGGATCAGTGTAGCACTGTTGGTTTCCCAAGTCACCATTAAGAACTCTACTAACTCACTAACAGCAGTGTTTCATTATAAACGTATTTAAGCTACAATCAGTATAGTAGAGTTTTCTGTATTATTTCAACTCACTGGTGAAGTTCTGCCAAGGAAGATACCACTTTGTTGCTTTTTAATTAGTGTCTGTGCACTTTAAGAAATTTGTGTCTGTAGGAAAATGTTATTCTGCAAACCTGTACACAATAAAGTTGTCATTAAATTGCAAAAGGGAAACCAAGTATATCCTTTACTGTTTGTGAAAACAGAATGATTATATCCTGTATTTTACTGCTATGTGTTACTTATAAATCTTTACTCCTGTATTGTTTCTGTTTACACATCTTATTTGTGCATGTTTTTTGACTGATTTGCTCCACTTTTTATTTGTTTTGCATCACTGGATAAGTTGTGTTGCTTTTGAATAGTCAATTAGTCAACAACAAAAAAAGGACCCCATGAAGAAGCTGCATGAGGAAGTCCTAATAAACTTTTTTTCTTCTCAATACTTTTAAGGTTTTCCTTTTATTGATCTGTCATAATATATTGATGTTGATTTTAGGTATCTGGTTTACACTTTGACATCACTGGGAGCTGCATTTTTCTCCTGTTTGCACTAAACTACGGTGCCTTACCTAACAAATGACTTGCTGGTGTAGTTTTACCTGTTGCATCTCAATAAATTAAATTGGTCGGGCCCTATTAAATACAAATGGAAAACAGTGTTTTGGAGTAACTAGTTACATGTAAATTAAATAGCAAAATAAATGTAAATGTTATCAGTTACAGTGATGGGAAAAATACGGAATTACAGTTACTAATCAAAATGTCAGTGGTGCAGATGGGTTAATTCTGAATATATTATTTTTTGGTAAAAAGTTTATATACAGAATATAACATTACTTCTGCTGCTTCACATATTTTTGCCCTGCAGTAATGCCTTCTTTTGGCATAGCTTATTTTCATACATTTGTCACCTTTATTGCCCAGTTTAAACATTTGTTAGAAAAGTAATCAAAAAGTAATCAAATGTAATTAGTAACATTATTCTGATAAAATAGTTAAAACAATTACATTACTTTTACTGATGGAAAAGAATAACAGTGATTGAATATTGTGGATGCGACAACAGTGCAGCCATGGTGACTTTTTAAATGTGATTTATGGCTATTGAAATTAATTTGAGAAGTGTATTATGCTGACTTATTTGGCAAAAGCTAGGACCAACTGTACATGGAAATTGATAATCATATTGATGCACTCAGCTCCACACACTGACTGGATAATTAATACACCGGAAGGCACTGGATGGACATTGGCGGCTGTGTCAAGTTAGCTAGAAATAGCCAAACTAGTACAGGAAGTACGATACACCTGTCTTCAAAGACAAAGTACATAAACCGCATAAGAGAAAACAGGGATTAATATGTGTATAGAACAAAACTGAAAACACTCGATGAAACTATTACATTACATTTAGAGAACAGCGCTTACTGCTAAATAGACAATATGTTATTTTAATAATATATTCTTAGGTAAAACAGACCTGGCAGCTGTTATATTTTATTACAAGTCCCGCTATTCTTGTTTAAACATGTTCAAATTTGACATTGGTATTTTTGACTATTATTAAAAAGCATCATCTTTATTAATACGTATTTTATTTTTGAAAGCGGTGACCGGAAACGCGTGTGTTTACCTCTGTGTGACTTGACTCTGCTGAGGAGAGCTGGAGGGAAAAAAAGGAAAAAAAAACCCGAAGAAAAAAAAGGCATATCTGAGGGGTTTGAGGGGCGGATTTGGACAAAGTTTCCCAACTGTCCCGACCCGAGGAGGCTCCGGGGGGGTTGACGGGGAATCGATTTCACCGGTAATTAACACTGGAGTTATTAGTCGGTTGTTAATTAACTGTTATTTTCAGTGTGTCTGAGAGCACCGTCGTCCCAACCGCCGGAAGTCTGCATGAAGCTGCGTCTCCTACAGAGGCGACGGCGTCGACGTTTTTTTTCTGTCTTCGTTTTTTTTTTTTTTTTTTTTTTATTCGAGACTTTTTTTCTCTTTTTTTTATTTTCTCTCAGCGAGATGAGCAGGGAGTGAGGAATGGAGGCGTAGGGAGCAAGCCTGTTTGTGTTTACCAAGCGGCAAGCTAGTTAAGCATATGAATATACAGGCCTCCTTGTAGCTAGAGCAAGCCAGCGAACAAAAGGAGAAAATTAATGGAGGCAAGTTAGCTAGCTCCCCTTGTCTTGTTGCGTTAACCAGCTAACGTTAGCCATGTTTGTTTATAACCCAGATATCTCATTAAGCTCCTGGCAGCTGGTCAGGTGCAGCGTGACACATCTATGCTACGTGCTTTGCAAGAGGCTCCCTGATTTAAACGATTTATGACAAATGCGTATTTAGAAGATGTCAGCAGTCACTGCTAACGTCAGCCCGCAGCTAGCAGTGCCACAGTTTTGGAGCCAGCTAGTGCCCCTCGTTTAACATGGCTCTCAGAGCACTGAAACATTGACTTTGTATTGCACTAATAACGGCCCCTGAATTGCCAGATAGCTGCAGCCTGTGGGAAATTAATTAATTTGCAATAAAAGCTCGCCCCATTATTTATTTATAGCTTGTGCAACTGCAGAGGGGAGAGCAGGCTCATGAAAACGTAAAACATGCCTTGAGTTATGCATTGCGAATGTTATGCATGAAATATATCATTGCCATAGTTGTTTCAGAATTGATTTTTATCAGTGTAACACGTTGTTATGTTGACGCAAATGTTTCATGGGCCTATCCTCCCCTGACGGATTAAACAGCTATTAGTTACATTAAATGCCAGTTCAGCTTTTCTAACGAAATTACGTGCTTGCTTTTCTTGGTATGTGAGCAATATCGCTATGCATGGCATTCACAGTCTTCACATGCTTACAGAAAAACAAACCTCGAAACTTCTTTTACTATTGGTGTGTAACAGTAGCAAAGTATGTGGAAATAAAGTGCAAATGCATGCCAAAATAGAACAATGAAACTATGAAACTTCCTTCTTTGTGCTACAGAAAACATGTTGCCTATGTGTCAGTGGGAGATGATCGGGAAACAGAAGATCAGAGGTTTGATAATGAAAAGATAGACAGTTGTCTTGTAAACAGTGAGTGTTGGCCTTAATAAACCATGTGCACTATTAGAAAGGATGTTATTTTCAACACTTATTGTACCAGCATATACTTTGGAAGAACACACCTTTGTGTTACTTTTCCAGGCAATAAATAGTTACAACATTTGGACACAGCATTTGGTTGCACCCTAAAACTAGACTCATTAACACTGATAAAGCAGCCACTCTAAGATTGTGTAATTTGTTCGCAGCAATGCAAACTGTGTAAGAGATTAGTGAGGAAGTGCATGGGCTGTGTTACCATTATCAAAGGCCTCAAAGACTGATTGTCAGTAGTGTTTTCTCAACTCTTGCCTCTTCTGTCCTCCTGCAGATTTTTTTTTAATATCCATCCCTCCCGGGATTGAGCATCTTTGCCTGATTCCTTTCACATCCTCCTCTCTGTAACTGTGATCAAATATTATTTTTAAAAACAACAAAGTGCATAAACCTAAAAGCATTTCCCTTTAACCAGTCAGCTGTGGGATTCCTCTAATTAGTGGTTGTTCGTCTATTAAAGTGGCTGATATAGTACACATGTTAACCAGCCACAAAGCAAATTTAGCAGCAAAGGCTGCTAGAGTGCTAGTACTCCACACTAATTCTGAAACTTGTTCAGTGTGTCAGCCAATGGAGGAGAGGATCATGGAAAGGAAGCAAACCAAGATGAATGAAACGCAGCCTTGCATGGTCTTGTTTCACATGTAAATTTAAATAAAAGCATAGTAAGAAGGAGGAAGAGGAGGAGGACAGGTTTTTTTCTAAGTGTGTTGCTTTTTAATTACAGAAATAATGGACGATTCCCATTTCAACTCATCATACTTTTGGTCTCC